GAAATCAGGGATGCCATATCTGGATGCATCTTGGCACAGCAGGGAGGCAAAGGATGACATCTGCCTGTGCCAAGGGGCACTGTCACACCCTGTCCAGCTGCTGGAAAAGCTCCTGAGGGAACATTGGCACATACCCGGGGGCTACAGACCTTTGGGAGGGTGTTCATTCCTGTGACAATTCACACATTCAAGTTTTAACAGGGTAACTCTGGGTTAACACATCTTTAGGCCGTGGAGGGTGGCGGCTGAGTTGTAATACAGTCATTGTGTGATTCTTTTTTCTTAGCTGTTCACACACCTCTTATCAGCAGTACTCAGTCACCAGCTTAACACCATTTGCTTTGGGGAAGTGGGGGGTGGGGACATGCACCCATTTTTTTAACCGTTCTTTGTCAGCAGTGCTAAGTGCGCTTAATGGCTATTACTGAGCACTAATCGCTACTCAGTCTGAAACTGGTCAAGGTTGGGAAGTGGGGACTAGGAAGGGCCTTTTAATCACAGGGTGGTGGCAGCTGCCTGTATTGGTACTTGAATTGCATTTCATTTTTCTGCACATCAACCAAGCTGCAAAGACATTTCTCTACCCATTGTCTGTGTTGTGAGTTCCGCTACATTTGGTGATAACGGTGGGTTATGTAAGCACATGACACTAGCTGCACTTTCCCCATCTTTGACTTTGGATCTTTTGTAACCCATGTGGGGAGGGGAAGTGGGTGTGGGACATTTGCATGTGCAGTAAGATACAGTATTGCCAACCCCAAATATTCAAAAATCATGAGTCATGCTCACCAAAAGTCATGAGATTGACTTTAAAACAATGAGATTATGTAAAAGTTAGTAATTTTGGGGTACACTGGGGACACATGAGGGCCAGAAACTTATTTTTTCTTTAAGAATGAAGGCTGAACTCAACACATATCCTCTTGACCCCCAGAAGCTGGGGCTGTAAGGAAAACAATAATTTTCATGAGACTCGTGTCAAACTAGTTGCACCATTCCAATTCATGTGCTGTGAATTCTGGACCCCAATCCTGAGCCTGAAAACATCTTATGTTCACCATGGCTAGGAAGCAGGGACGTCACCCAGGTCAAGGAAATGCTAACATTTAATAAAAGGCCGATATGGAAGGTGTAAGTAAAATATTTTAAGAAAGAGATGGAAACCAACAAAACATCATGGGACCGAATCCATGAACAACAGCCAAATGTTAATGTCTCTGCATCTGCCTCCTTGCCGTCCCCATGACAAGGGGGGGATAATTGATCTTGGGGACAGATAGGGATGTCTCCTGCATACTGTTTGTTGGGCAGGCAACTGGTGAGGTTCCAGGACTCCTATAGGCTTGTTGTTCCCCTTATGGATGCTCATGGGGGTCCCCCTGTGAGGGGTTTTGGGTGCCAGTGGAGGGTGTGGTCCTGAGAGTCCTGCAGACCCTGCCCGGTCACTCTGGGTGGGATTGGGTCCTCTGCCTCAGCAGCACCTGGGGCGGTGGCCAAAGTAGGGGGTGGTTCAGACAGGTGCAGTGGCCACGGTAGCAGATGGATCCCAAACTTGTTTAAAAAACAACAAGGAGTCTGGTGGCACCTTGAAGACTAACAGACTCCTTGTTGTTTTTGTAGATACAGACTAACACGGCTACCCCCTGATACTTGACACAAAACTTGTTTCAGCCATTCTATCAGTCTCTCCATTAGGGAAGCCCTCTTCCCTATGCTGTGCCTTCTGCTCCATGAAGGAGTTCATCGGTGTGTAACGGCATGGCACCCACCTCTCATGGGCGCCCCCTTCTGGTTGGGTGTGTCTGCAATCTTTAAATAGTCCCAGTCCCGGTATCAAGCCATACCCGCAAGGCTTCCTCCCTGGAGGCAATGGTTTCACCCTCTTGGTCTACTCTGGTCCCAGCTGGGCCACGAAGTAGCTCATTTCCCCTTCTAGGGGTTTCTCGCTGTCTGATTCTAAGCCAGTTCCTCACTGGCCTATTGGAGGAGTGGGGGAGACCCAGGCCCATCTACTACTCCAGGTCCCAGTCCAGGGATCTTAAGAAGAGCAGCCACGTGCCACCGTGTCCCTTTAACTACACTGCTCTCAGTTTCCTGGGCCACTTTCCCATGGCCCCAGCCTTTGACAAAGCTTCACCCTCACCTCAGGGCTCATCTAAGTTCAGGCCCAGCAGCCAGCCAGGAGCCCTTTCTCGCTCCCCCAGTCGCTGCCAGCACTGAGCTGTCTGTGGTGCTGCAGTTCCCTTTGGCCAGCCAGGAGCAACATGTGCAATCCTCTAGCTCCAGCAATTTTGCCTCTGGTGCCCTTCGTTTGACCCTTTGACCTCACTCCTGTCCCTTTTATCTCATTAGTTGTCCCCCGGAATCATTTGGCTTCCAGGTCCTGTGGATTCTCCACTTCTGCCCCCGACTTCCTGGATCCCCGCCAAAAAACAAAAACACCAGGGAAAAGTACAGGGAAAGAAAGAGACTCGGCCCCTTTATTTGGTTCCCTAGAGTTTCAGAGCAGCACCATGAGCTCCTCACCTGTCCATAGCAATGGGACATCGCACTGTGTTTATCCAGCTGCCAGACCGGCTTCCTTATGCACCCTCATTTCCGTCCTTGTGCAGCATGGCTCAGTGCGGGGAGAAGCCAGACCCCAGGGACAGGGAGAGGAGAATTTTGAAATCTTCCAGGGAAGAGCGGACTGCTGGGACTAACTTTTTCCTCAGATAACTAGTGTCCCCTTCCCCTCCCTGGACCTAACCCCTAGACGCCACCCCTGTTCTGTGCAGCTCCTCTTTGTAAGTGGACGGTAAGATTGGGGGAGGGGGAGAAGAGAAGCACTGAAACTGAAGTAAGAAAGGAAACGGCTATTAGACAAACAACTGTACATTTTCTACAACGGTCCCACCCTCAACAGGAACTCTTCTAAACCCACCCCCTCCATTCTCCCAGTCTGTGCAGCACCAGGACTGGGATTGTTCGTTATTAATCTGTTTTACAGCTTCTGCCAAAGGTATAATAATGGTTGATTGGAAATCAATAAAATCATTGATCTATAGCCGCGTCTTGCTCAGGGGCCATTTAAGGACTGAAGTGGAGTTGGGTTTACAACCAGGAATATAGCACCAGAGCGAGAGGGATATTGGCGGGGGGGGGGGAAGGAGGAGTCCACTGAAACTTACCAGTTCTAGGTTCTCCTTGGGCTTGTTGCGGGGGTGGGGTGGGTTCCTCAACCACCTTCTCTGGGTAGCGGAGCAGAATCACATGCTCCTCATCCTCCGGCTCTTCTGGGGCGTCCTCTGCAGTTCCCGCTGCCTCCTCGCCCTGGCCCCCATCAGCATCCCATCAGCCAATGAGGCCGCAGGGCTGAGGAAGGGGTCGTGAGCTCTGGACTGGGAGCCCTTGACAGCGCCCGGTCCAGCTCGTCATAGAAGGGGCATGGACGATGACGAGGCCTCCCACAGCAACTGCTGGAGCCTTTTGCTCTCCACTGCAGGAGCCTCAAGTGTTTGATATGCTCCATGGCCCGCTCAATGCCCACCGGCTCCAGCCTCCCTGGAGATTCCCGATACAGGTGAATGTTCCTGCTGCTCCGGGCAGTCGGGGAAGAAGGTGTTCTCCAGCCACACACTGATCAGCAGCACCCACGCGTGGCCCGTGAGCCAGGTGGCTGCTCTTGGAACAGGATCCACGTTCCCCTGTACTGACCAAAGAGTGCAGCCGAAAGCTGTTCTGATGTGGTCAGCGCAGTTCATGTCTACAGGTGAAAACGGGACACGTCTCTTTACAGATTGGGTAAGGACCAGGGAGAAAAGTGCATTGTGCGACTGGGGGTGGAGGACGATTGAAACTCGAGACCTGGTACACTCCCTTTACCCCGTCCATGCTGCCAGTTGGCATGGGGACGGGGACAGGCCACAGCCGGAGGCATCTACACCGCACCCCTCAGGTGGCCTAGCTCCCTCGCTCTCTGTTTGCCTGCAGACACACGGTTCTGGGGGACAACAGGGGGTGACTGCACAACCACACGCCTGGACACGGAATACAGTCACTAGTGTAGATCTCGCCTTAGTCTGTCTGAAGTACCGTGAGATTTCCTTTTGCCCTCTGCATTGCCTTCTTCTTGGCAGGTGTGACATACGTCATTACCTCCATCGTGATAGCTGAGACCTATTGCATTGCTCACACCTAGACATGTATGGCCAACGGTGTTGCCTTCTTCCCAAACACGATCACCAGGGACATTCCTTATTACACCAGGTACAGCTGCTCTCCTCCTGCCTTCACAGGGGTGACCCCGTGCTTTGCTTACCCTCCATTGGGGCATTGCTTATTTACCAATGGACACTGCACTGCTCTTCTGGTTAAGTAAAACACACTCTTCTTTTCAAACTTAGATTGCCAGGTGTGTGTCATTTCCTGTGCAGAGTTAAGTTGCATCATTTTGTATGAAGGGACATCGTATCTGTGCACTTGGTCTGCCATCTCCTGGATTAATCATGGATTTAATACTGCAGCTACCAAGGCCTTCCATATGCAGGCAGCATGTCAGTGTGAGGGACTGATGGGCCAACAGCAGAACTGCCCACCCAAACCCTTCATGATCT